AAGTGTGGGATTGCGGAGGAGCCCAGGGTGCTGAGGACGGGTCAGGAACCCACACAGACCTGCCTCAGGWGCCAGATCCTGCTTCTCACAAGATGAGAGATTTGCCTTGTGAGTCTGAAATGAGACCGATGAACAACAAAGCCACTCATGAGACTCCAGAGGATGCCCTGGGTCCCCAGGATGGATCAGCAGCCACRGGGACAGAGTTGCCTCAGGTGCAGGATCCTGCTGAACGCAAGCAGAGAGAACATGATCCTCTGTTTGAGCAGAGTGAGCCCTGCCTCAGGGATGGGATTGGAGAGGAAGCCCAGGATTGCCAGGATGGATTAGCAACGGGACTCACACAGAGAAACACCCTTAGAGAAGATCTGGGTGAGTGCAGGGCCACCTCTGTGGCCTGTAGGGAAGGAACAAATGTCACCCCAGTAGGACAGGGTGACACTGGAAGAGGCCTCATGCTCTGCTGGCCCCCGGCAGTGGCCAGGACCAATACCCCTGGCTGTCCCCAGCCCTGGGCAGTTCTTGTAGCACAGACTGTCCCCTGCCTTTGTCCCCTGTCTGTCCTCTGGCCAATGTCCCTATCTGTCCCTGGTTCTGTCCCTGGCTGTCCCTGTCCTTTTATCTCCTGCAGCCAGCTGAGTGAGGGGCTCGTGGGCTGGGGGGTCCTTCCTGCGCTTGCCAAGCATTCGATGGGGAGATGCAAGAGCCAGACCTGCTCAGGACAGCCCCATCCTCATGGCCCRCCTCTCTTTCCAGCTCCAGTCAAGTGGATAAGATCCCATCCCAAGATCACCCTGGGGGTGCTGGCTCTTCTGCTCGTTTTGGTGGTGGCCTTGGCTGTTGTGTCAGGTAAGGGAGGGGCAGCTGCCTCGGCCCAGCCCCTGGGGCAGAGCGGGGTCCCTGCTCCCTGTGGAGGGGAATCCTTGGACCTTCTCCTATTCACTGTCCAGGAAGAAGCTGTGGAGAGACTCCAGTTGCCCCAGTTACACCAGTTACAGCTGTGACTTGTGTAGTGCTGGCCTGTCCCGATGACTGGATCGGGCACCGTGGGATCTGCTACTTCCTCTCGAGGGATCAGCTCAGCTGGGATCAGGCTCAGGCTCGGTGCTCTGAGCTCGGGGCCTCCCTGGCCGTGCTCAAGGACTGGGAAATGGTGAGTGAGGGTGTGCAAGGGGTGTGGGCTGGTGGACGGGAGCCTGGGGAGCTCCTGGGCTGGGCTTAKTGCTTGTAGGGTCAGGGATGCAGCTCTGCCCCAGGGCCTGGCAGGGAACGAGCCTGGGGTATGGGGGGAGTCCCAGACGTGTCCCCCCAAGGGGCCGGGGCAACTCTCACTACCAGGTCCTCTCTCCTTCCCAGGAGTTCCTCTTCCGTCTCACCAGGAACGAGGATCACTGGCTCGGGCTGCACAGACAGGGCCGGGAGCTGCAGTGGGGGGACGGCAGCAGCTTCAACTCCTCGTGAGTCCTGGGGAGCCGGGCAGGGCCTGGGGGGCACAGGGGCACGATGTGTCCCCCCCACAGTGCCAGCGCTGTCTCTGCTCCTCTTTGCAGGGTTCCAGTCCTGGGCAATGCAGAGTGTGTGTTCATGGCTGAAAACAAAYTCGTGAGTGGAAACTGCTTGAATCCGCTGCCCTATATCTGCCACAAGGCCCAAACTCATTGTTAACAGAGGATGGAGAAAGGAYCTTCTCTGTGCTGGGCAGTCTCAGCTTCTCCACATCCCACACCAGCACGGGGCTGTCCTTCCTCAGCTGCACCATCTGCCTTGTAGGGTCACCTCAGTGCCTGCTCTGGGAGTCCCTGAGTCCCTTCCCTCCTGCTTTTCCTGCCGAGCCCCCTCCTGTTCTCCAACAGGGACACAAAGGGCGGTGTCAGTGCTCGGTGTCCCTGGGCTCCGACCCACCAGGGCAGGGGATGCAGGGAACAGTCCTGAGCAGCCTCAGGGTTGGTTATTGGCAGTGTCACTTCAGTGACTGTTCTCGTGAATACCTCAATGCCTGTTCTTGTGAATGCCTCAGTGCCTACCCTGGGGCCGCCTCAGAGCCACTTTGTAGGGTCATCTCAGGACCTGGTCTGAAGGAGATGAACCTGCAGGAAGAGGARATGATGTAGAAGCTGATGTGTGCCTGCCTGGGCTGGGGCTGTGGGTTTCTATTTCCTTCTGGAACCATTCTGTTTCGCTCAGAAAGTCATCCTATTTCTCTTGCACTATATATTTATATCCTTTCCCTCTCTATATGTGGATATAGATGTAAATTGTGTGCTGCCATATGAAAGTAGCATTTCCTTGGCTGGGGTATGGCACTAATAATGCCAAGGCTGTGATTTGACCCCAGAGGCACCATTCCCTTAAGAGTCAGACTTGACCCTTGCAGGTCCCTGTCATG